TAAAGATACTTATGCGTTAAAAAGTGAACTTCTCTAAACAATTTGTTGATGCAAATATACGCAATTGTGGCTTGTTTAAAGTTGAATGATACTCTGTTAGTTCAGAAATGGGTAAATGAAGCATTATCTCGGTAGTAATACAATTACAATGCCATACATACATGTACATGTATTTGCTTATCGTAGTGACTTGATTGTGCGCTTTCAATGATTGTACAATATCCGGTATATAGTTTATGTATGAAATACAGAGTATTATAATAGCCAGTATAATATTAATATATGTACCTCATTATTCCTGGAATTGAAACTATTTGAAATCTATATATTGTCGTTTGGAAAATGATCAAGTAAATATCTAATCTGGACAAAGTTTTCATTTCCAGCAGATACAATGCTTCTTTGTAACAAAGTTCTACTTTGCAGTTTTACAAAACTGACATCTCGATTTTTAAAGAACAGCCAATTAAAGGAAAGAGGAAACTCGCCAAAACACTTTGTTTTACTCTGAACACCTACTTCATATTATCTGTTCTCCGCTGAATTCCTGTGTCAACAACATTCGGATTCTTCAAGTTCAATGAATCAAATACCAAGTGTTTATTTCACAACAGGTTTAAATTGTTATAAACTTAAGTTTTTTTCCATTGACAAATCTTCCGGATAGTAATTCAATATTTTACGTCGAACATCTTTGAGAACACAAGTCTCTTTTGGATTAAAATGATTTTTAATGTCTATACGAAGTGAAATATCATCTGTCATGTCAAAAGGTCGAGCTTTAGTTGCAAAACGCTATGGATGAATTGTTTGAAAATGGTTAAAAGGGCAAATAGATAAAAAGGGAAAGGAAATAAATATTATTGGCAAACCGGACGTGGCTTCTTCATCGCGTATACAAATATACGTCAGAATGCATGAATCATGCAGTGTTTTCCTGTCGGTGTATTTATTACCAATAACTTAACTACACTATGAGTACATGTACACGGATCACCGCTACTCAAATGTAACGAAGTTATGGCGCCGTTCCCCAGTCGTGCTGACGCAATGCGCGGGCGTGCATATGAGTTTACATGCGCGTGCTTTTGATATCGCACACGAGAGCAAACGAACAAATAGAAATACAACCCCGAGCCGCTGCGTGCGTGTTGGTGTTTATATATCACTGGCCTGGTATTGGGTTTCTGTTAAGGCTCCTTACTCTTCACAAACATTGTCTCCCCCGTCAGCCATATTTACATGTATGTCACGTGATTACTTAGATTAAAGTTTTGAAGAACACTACGTGTAGTAATTTCGGAACAACTTTTTATGCGACCACTTCTCTTTGATGAGTGGAAAAAAAACCAATGGTAATTGTAGAAAGTTGGTGTCTTTACTATATGAAGTGTGCAGAGATTTTGATCGCTGCCCTCGAGAGTGTACCAGATGTTTAGGATGGCCCCGCCAAAATAAACAACGAGACGGTCGTATGATAAATGTTCTAGACAAGTGTTGGCAGCGGCGAATAAACAATACGTCTGTTCTTCACGTGTTGTCCTAATGACTGACCGATTATATACTCTTACTCATGGATGGTCGTAAGGATGGGGCACTCCAAGAGACAGCAGATTTTTTGTGTGCGATAGACAAACTTATGTACCTAGCAATTGATTAGGTTGTGCATTTTCACGACAGCTTAAATTACAAATGTAGCTAGGTCACATGAGAACTAAATGTCCGAAGATGTGGAGCCAGGCTAAGGTCAATTAAAGCGCCATTCGGCTATTAGCATAACCTGGACACGGTAATATGGTTACAGGTACCACACCTGGTTACAGTATCATGACAACAATATAGGAAGACACTGCCAAAAACCTAGAGATGGTCCGAACGGAGGTCCAAAGTGTTGAATGGGACTGCCGATCAGGTGTGGTCTCCTCGGCGACACCAAGTGGAGGACACAGATAGAAACCCTGAATCCAAAGGGGTCAATACTAGTCGACTGTTAGGGTAAAGAGCATTGTTTAGATGGTGTCGGTAACAAGCACTGTTCCAAAGTGAGAAGGTAACCAAGAGAAGTTCGGTAACCTTTTAGTGTATCACACCCATTTGAGAACATTATGATACAGTAACATACGATTAAGATATGTTGCGGTACGTGGATTTCATCATTCTCGAAAGCAGCGATTCATATGTGTATTCACGACGCATTAGATTTTGCGATCGTCCAACGCAAAAATAACTATCCTACGAAATTGAAGAGATTTTCAGTACGGGAACCCGGATGTTTAAGTTAGGAGTTTTACTGACCAATTGTCTGAAGTACTTGGCATTCTCACGGTGTGTGTGTGTGTGTTTGTGAGGTATAGAATTCAAACATCTATATTACTTACACTACAGTAAACCGTGACACTGTACCGTTACAAGGTGCTTCAGACTCAAGTGTCCGGACGGTCATTTTTACTTAGTTAAGTGGCTATAGTAGGTCCAGCCATGTGGTCAAGGGGATTGGACACTCGGAGAAATAAACCTTTGTTATATGTACTGATGTGTTGTGATTTGATATCCGACAATATGTAATGACTGTAGGCCAAAGTCCTGTCAATACAGATATAGCGTTGTCATGGTCCGTGAGAACTACAGTAGAAACGGGTCATGGTCCGTGAGAACTACAGTAGAAACGGCAGTCAGGGAATTTAGAATACTGACGACATTAACAATAACTTAAGCAGTGATTATTATCTTTGATGATAAGATGCAAATGTTATTAGAAAAATAACGTCACGAACATACATAATTGAGACATCACATGTGACCTACAAACATGTCTGTTATCGAAAAAAATACCAAAAGCTTAATTAATTCACTGTACATATATTGAATTGATATCCAAGTGATGTACCGTCTTTGATAACGACGGCAGACACGTAGCGAGGCAACGTAAATCAAATTGTAAACGAGGGGAATTGTGTTGCTTTCAAGTATCGCATGTGAAACTGACAAGGTGCACAGAAACGAACGCACTATGGACCGGAAGTAGACCATTGATAGGCAGAGCTCAAAATGTACAATTTCGGAACTTTGTGACAAGTAAATAACACTTAATCAAGAATGAAATGTGCTTCTTGCACCTGTGAAGTAAATTTTACATTATGCCCTAAACTATATGTGTGAATCAATCCTGTGTTAAATACAGGAACGTTAAATGCACGTGCCGAAATTCCAGAGCTCAGCCTCGGTCCTGGTTCATTTACGCGATACGCGAGTCAGCCCAAGTTTACAGGCCAATGCCAACAGGCCTACGGCGGAGTTACATTTGTGCTTACACCAAAATACTACAAAATTCTCAGTTGTTTTTAAAAACAAATATGAAACATCTTAACGTTCGTCACGTTCAATACCTACCAATATACCATACCTGCGCTCATCTCAATTCTGCTCGATACCATTTGTATAGACATAAAAGTTTAATTTGATTAACTCTAACACACGCAACAAACTGGGTTATGGATTTATACTGAGCAGTATAAGCTGGCTCGTACAGTTCTCTTGTTTTGTTATGACGAAATCATTTCAGACTGAATTATAAATAAACGTTAACATTCGGAATAATTTTATATTACCACCATGCCGTTATATAAACTGACAATTTTATTTTACACATACACACGGTTCCATGTCTCGCACCTTTTAAGTACATTCAAATTAATGAATAAAGTCATTCAGGCATATAGCATAATATTATTTCAACTAATTTCGGATTAGTTATTGACATGCATATATTTAAGTGTCTGGATGTTAGAGCCCGCAGGTGTGTGTTTGACCCCAGGAATTGTGTGTTTGACCCTCGAATTGTGAGTTTGACCCCCTAGTTTGGATGTTATAGCCCCCAGAACTGTGTTTGAATAAAATGGATTTGGGTATTTGAACTGTCGGAATTTTGTGTTTGACATGTACGTATGACATGTACTGTGGGAAAACACTAAACTGGGATCCACTGAATCGTTTTAATCTCTTTAGTCCGGACTAAGTAATATACAACAACCGTACGACCTGCTACATTTCGCAGGCCACATACAGATTTGTTTTGATGGCAGAAGGCCTGTTGTTTACAAACCAACGTTATGACACATCCAGTGTCCACGTATTCAAAAGCTCATGCAACACTTTAACACAGTTACAGTCCCTAGCTGTTGCTATGACGTTATAATTAAGACAAGCAAACCCATACTTTTATTTTCTATTAAAAAAAGGTTGTTCCAAAGAGACGGCACGGAAAGCAACAGAAAGTTACCTAAATATGATGGTTCAGTTGTCAATATCATAAAACTGTCCATTCATCACATTGATTTTGCACATTTATAAAAAGACACCAAATAAGGGGGGAATGCTGGTTTGATTTAATCATTATTACCATTACGCCCTTCTCAAACAGTATGCGTCTTTGATTGAGGTTTCGCAAGTCTGGTACTTCAAGATAGCACGACTATAAATTATGCTTTATCAGTGACTCCTAAAGGGCTACAGGCACCACCACTGGGTATTTGAATATTCCATTATTCGCCTATTAATTTCACATTTTTTTCTGATTAAACATGTTATTTCGGATTACAATGCTGTGACACTTGATTCATCGTCCCAGTCACTACGCCGCCCAAATTCCTTGCACTTTGCGCGACCCTTGTCAGCTTGTAACGGGATCTAAGTGACCGGGCTCGTTAGCAGCCTATACCTCCCGACCTACAGGCGTGGTCAACTTGACGCAGTGCGTCTTATGGGAAAATTATTGGAACAAAATTGAATGTCTGTCTTTTTCTTTGTATTTTTCAAACGAGCAGATATGTTAATGAGTTGCTTTTCAGTAGTAAAGTTTGGAATCCACGTGCTACTTCATGTATATCATCCGTTAACTATTATTGACAATTACAAGACTGGCTTCGTTAAACAGGAGCACTGCCTTTGTTTATGAAAAAAACCACCATGCTTTACTTCTTTTTAAGTTGGCGGTATTGGATTGCTGGACGCCATGTGCCCAGTGACGGGTGTGTGTTTCTGCAGCTGGTAACAGGGCGTATACCTGTGGTCATCGGCCGTCACATGTCAGGTACTCAATTGGGCCTGTCGGACAGTATCCCTCGTCAATACTGACCTTCAACCCGACTTAATGTGGAAAATATTGTGATTCCCGGTATCGTTCGTTGAGCTAGGGTTTGAATTGTGTGCTTATCCGCCTACATTATACCGTGTACACTACAGAGGCCAGACACGACTGCTGGCCAACTCTACGGGCCAGGCCAGGCACGACTGCTGGCCAACTAAACGGCAGTATTACCCGTACTACACTGACACAACTAGTACTCATAATGGAACTATTGATAATTTTATCTGTGGCTATCTCACTATTAGCCGTTCATGTGGATGGTCGTTCATCGTGTGTCCGTATCACCAAAAGTCATCCATGTCAACAATTTTATTTCCATTTTGATAATGAGGGAAACACATTTAAAAACCAAAGTAACGTTTTTAATGTGACTGCGAAATTAAGTAATTCTAAACGTGAATCGTTCGAGGCGTTTTTCTGTGTTGTATTTTATCCGCCCTGTGGTGCCAGTGTGGACTACTTGCTTCCGAATATCAGGACTCCACATGTGGTGCCATGTCAGGAATTCTGTACTTCCACTTGGAAACTGTGGCGCCGGATGTTTATAAAAAAGAAGATACCACAAGATTCGGCGTGGCCGTGGGGACTTCGGTGTGAGAGCCTTCCACGGAAAGACTGCATCAAACGATCAGGTACATGATCACGTGTATAAAATACAAATATACAAACTGTAGTCCGTATCATATATGTTAATTATGTAGAACACAAGTTCTGAACTTGTAGTGTACGATATTTCGTTTCAGTGAATTACCAATTCAATATCAGGTATTTACAAAGTGAAACTGGCAGAGGTTTATAAAGACATATAACATGCCAGAGATTTTAAAGAGGACATTCTTGGTTTCTTGACGAACCACACTTATATTTCAGGAGTATAGGATGATTAGTTTGATGTTCTTCGCGAGTATGTGGGATTCTGTTCTATATCTATATGTAGTCAGAGGANCCCCCCCTCATAGGAATGCTGTATTCAACAACACGTTGTTATTGTGTCACAATTAAAAAAGTCAGGGGTCAAAGTGACGTCATAAATATCGAAACATTCATCACAACAGAAAGCTATCAACTATATTTCAATGTAAAATCCACACACATAATCTGGTGAAAAGCGCTAAAAGGTGACACGAAGTAATGTCACATGTTTATGAAGTTAAACATTGTTAACGTGTTAGATGTTAATACAATAGTACAATGTAAGATGGTTATAAAGTACATGTAATACAATGTTAGATGTTTATTAAGTAGTTCAATGTTAGGTGTTTATGAAGTAATTCAATGTTAGGTGTTTATGAAGTGATACAATGTTAGGTGTTTATGAAGTGATACAATGTTAGGTGTTTATAAAGTGATACAATGTTAGGTGTTTATAAAACAATACAATGTTAGATATTTATAAAGTTATACAATTTTATACGTTTATGAAGTGATACAATGTTAGATGTGAATGAAGTAATACATTTGTACAATATTATATGTTCATTAAGTTATACAATGTTAGATGTTTTTGAAAGAACATAATATTAGATGTTTATGAAGTAATACAATGTTAGATGTTTATTTACGAAAACAATGGTATACAATGTTATACAATGTTGTACAATGTTAGATGTTTAACAAGAAATGCAATGATCGATATTTATAGAGAACATGTAATGCAATGCGAGATATTTATAAAGCAATACAATGTCAAATGCTTATAATAATAATAATACGAGAGGTTTATACAGGTAACATTTAGAATGTTACAGATTTCTAAATGGATTTCCAAGTTTCTAGAATAGTGAAAGGCATCGTCCATGCTTATAAATGTATGTAATACTCAATGTTTGTACTAAGACGGTCGTGTTATGTTATACAACAAACACAATTCCATTATTTCTTTTGATTATGATCAACGGCAATAAAGGAGAAATGTATACAGTTACAGAACCTGTATAGAACCTTCCATACGTCCCCTTGATAAACAAATGGTTGTACGACACCTTGCTATGTCTGGTAAACACGCGCGTAATGCACGCGCAGTAAGATAAGAGTTGAGCAGGACCACCTGACCACGGTTGCGGGGCCCCGCCTGGCAGGCCACAATAGCCCGACTGGCTCGACTCGTAAAGTCCACATATATTACTTTATCTTTATTACAATCGTGTTCCTTTTTACTTTGAATCAACCATATGTTTCTCTATGTCTGGCCCGAGGGCTCGACGATACACAAACCAGAATAGGCCTGCTCCCATATCTTATATAGAGAAATTTCACACCCAACTTTCCATCACAGATTTTCCCGGTTTATTACGCTTTTGCACCATATGACCGTTCTGTTCTGTGTTAATGACAGGTAGTAACCGTTAATAACAAAGCCCTAACTGATCATTATCTATTTTGATTAAAATGAAACACATTTAAGTAAATGCTAATATGGTAAATACAGATGTGTCAACATGATTGGCTTATAATAGTCTTTGATACAAAAATGTATTTATTCTACTAGATACAAGAAAATAAGAAGTTCATAGAAACGCAAAATACCCCACTAAGATATCCTAAGGAACAAATTAGTCACTACTTTAATGTATGCTATTGAATAAAAAACTGATGGTAGTAATTGAATACACGAACTGATGGCAGTTATTGAATACACACACTGATGGCAGTTATTGAATACACAAACTGATGGCAGTTAGTGAATACACACACTGATTGCAGTTATTGAATACACAAACTTCTGACAGTTATTGAATACACAAACTGATGGTAGTTATTGAATACACAAACTGATGGCAGTTATTGAATATACAAACTTCTGACAGTTATTGATTACACAAACTGATGGTAGTTATTGAATACACGAACTGATGGCAGTTATTGATTAAACAAACTGATGGCAGTTATTGATTAAACAAACTGATGGCAGTTATTGAATACAACACAAACTTCTGACAGTTATTGATTACACAAACTGATGGTAGTTATTGAATACACGAACTGATGGCAGTTATTGAATACGCACACTGATGGCAGTTATTGAATACACACACTGATGGCAGTTATTGAATACACCAACTGATTGCAGTTATTGATTACACAAACTGATGGCAGTTATTGATTACACAAACTGATGGCAGTTATTGAATACACACACTGATGGCAGTTATTGAATACAC